ATTTGATTCTCACATTGCATACACTAGTAATAATTTTCACAATAAAAACAGTAGTAATATTAGAGGGAAAATGAAATAAAAAATGATACAAATAATATTTAAAGAGTTTAACACAGAAAATATCGAAGGCAAATCAAACGACCCTATGATTTTAATCGCTACTTCAGAACTTTGCGGATAAACATACACGTATGTAAAGACATTTTTGAAAAACAGACGGAAACGTTTGAAATGGAAGTAATTTTTGATATCTTAACAAATTTACTATCGAGCTGAGAAAATAAAATCAGAATATGTGCACGTTGGAGTCTTCATAAAACACTAAGACAGTCGAAATCACTACAGTTAAAAATTTGCTGCACCTTACTGATATGTTTAGGCTTTCCTGAAAATTTAAAAACAATTTCACCTGGTAATCTGGACATTGTGTTACATCGTGATCATCTTTGAGCCACTTCACGACAGGATCTGGATGACCTTCGACTTGACATTCCAGCAGGACATTCTGACCTACTACCACACGTTTGTTTTGAAGTGGCTATAAAATTTTGATTAAGTGAAAAATACGCTTTAGCAGCATGCATAACATGATATTACATTAGAAAGTAAATGATACCATTAGAAGTTTGTCTCAAATCAGGTAATTAATTCTATTGCAAAAATGATAACCCTGATAAAATTTGGCAAAGTTTGATTCTCGATACGCTCTCCCAAAGGTCGCTTGAATGGCATTTCAGAAATTAATTCGGTACTTAGTTTTCAGTCATAAAAGCATTCGTTTCGTTAATTTTTGTTGCATTCCAGTAATCCTAAAATTAACTTACTTTAATCAAGTATAATTTAATAAATATTTTAAAAACTGGCCGATTAAAGCAGACTAAAACAAGTAAAACTACTTCTACTTGACGCTTAATATTTGCGCTATCAAAAGTCTACTTCGTCTCGTATTTTTGCTTAATTTGAGCAGTCAAAAAAGCGTATTCACGTATTTTATGCATAAATCTTCCAGTGAATAAAACATTTTGTTTTGTTTTTGTCAATTTATTCATTTTTTTGTATTTATCATTTCAATAATTTGCTTTATCAATTTAAAATAGATAAATGTTTGATTTTTAATTTTTTTTGAAATTGAAAACACGTAAAAAAGAAGCAAAGTATTTTCTGCGAGCAAACAAATTAATGAATCGAAAATTTTTTGTGTTTAACAGCAAAATGTGATCGAGGAGAAAAACCATTCAAAGATTATACAATCAAAAATGTCAAATTATCTGTACAGTAACATACTTCTAAGAACCTGAAAATAATTAGACTAATTAATATTGCATTTAATTTAAGAGCATTTCTTTGGCAAAACAAAATTTTAGAATATAAGTAATTTAGTTCTTTCAGTCTTGAAGCTAATAAAATGAGATAATTGCAATGTAAGAATTAATTCTTCCCTACAGAACTTACAAGCTCTCATATTATTTGTAAACTTCACGTAATGATTCTTAACAAGTCAATTCAATAAAAGGTGCAATACGCGTTTTTTAGTTTAATTCAGCAAAAATTATCGCAAAATGTCTCAGCCATCGGATTTGTTTTAACTTTTTGATATGAGCACCGACGTTTGTATATACGTGAGGTTACGAGATGATCGCATCAGTTTTAAGCAATAAGATAAATATTAAAACAAACATAATAAAAATCATTTTTCTTTTTAAATATAAAAATTATTCAGAGATATTTTATTAATTAATTAGTCGAAAAGTTTCTTAAAAGATTGATTGATTAAATAATGGAATTAATCAAACACACAAGGAAAATTATTGCTGATCGCTGCTGTAAAATTTTACGTTTATTCTAAAATAATCTTAGAAAGTCAGAATAAAGAACTGTCCGTACCATCAATCGGAATGCAGCACTGTCGTCAGCACAGAATCTGAACATCATCAGAATTTTACTCAGACTTTCAGATTTTGTACTGATGATGACAAATTTAGATTATTAAAATCAAAAATTCAGATTTATACGATGATCAGTGGTTATAGCAAGGAAATATTAAAATCTCGTAAACAATTTCATCAATTATTGAAACGATGCATATGATAACAACGATAATGGTAATAGTAATAACTGAAAGAATATTAATATTATTTACATATTAATATTAATAATAATAGTAGTGAGAATACTACAAGCAATTAAGTATAAATATTATACAAATATTATGTTAAAATGCTAAAATACTGTAAGCATTATTAATAATCACAATGATTTTTGATGGAAATTATTTAGAAAATAGTCTAACTAAGGTAAGACTTACTTACACGCAAAATTCTAAACATGAAGCATTCTACATATTGTTACTAACACAAAGTAAGATTATTTGTTTTTAATTCAAGTCTGTCATTGGTATGAGCATTAACAACATCGAGTACATTAAGTTAGTTTAGTTTGAGTTAATATGCAAATTTTATTCATTTTATTATGAATGAATATTATCTTACTGATACCCTTTAATATATAGTTAGAATATAGTTATTTTTTAGAGGAATATTTCAGCGGAAAGTGTAAAATTAGTGAAAGATTGTTTCACTTCAATCATTCAAAAGTCTTTTAAAGTTATTTTGGCAGAGAAAAGTTGAAAAGTTGTTTTTTGTTTTCAGTTTTTCTTCACTTCATGGTAGATAAGAACTAGTTGAATGTATTGTGCAGCACAATCTTTCTAGTTAATATATATATATTAACTAAAAAGTGATTATATAGTGATTATATATATATATATAATCTTCTTCACTATATATATATGTATATATATAGTGAAGAAAATGATGCAAAAATGTGAAGAATTGGATTAGCCATTAAAAATGACATATATAATCACAGAAAATACTATTAAAAATGAATTAAAAACATTTAAAATCGAACAGATTTTTTTAATTGGACAATCGAAATCAACTCTATTGTCTTAAACTTTTAGAAATGCAGAAAAGAACATAAATTTTATTAAATTAATGTTCTATTAACTTTTTATAAAGATAGTGATAATAATACAAAAAATCAATGAGATTTGGCAAAATTCCAATAACAGAACTGTTTTTCCACATACCAGATGTACGTGTATAAAGATTGAATGCGGAAGAATTCATGACAATTCAGTAAGTTAATTGTGAGAAAAAAAATTAACTTAGAAATTCCAACTTTGGCAGTTAACTTTATTAGTATTTTCAGAGGAGACCCAAGCAACTTGGAAAACTAGCACATAAGGTTTAATTTTAGTCTGAAAATTGAGCCTGAAATTCAGTCATAAGAGTTCATGTCAAAACGTTATAGAAAGTAAAAGGTTAACATTGGGAATGTATAGATTGCATTCATGATTGACGTCACGACTTTCTTAGCTGTTTCAGCGCAAGATGTTTGCAAAATAAAAACTGAAATAAAAATGCCTGTTTCTAGGGCTTTTTAAAGTTGAAACATCTGTTTGTTTATAGTTAAATATTGAAAATGGATTCTTGTGATGGGATTAGATTAATTCGGGCAATTCAACTCCTGATTTGTAGTGCAAAAAAGCATTTGTTCACGTGGCACATCCTTCTGACACGTTTTCTTATTCTATTTTTTTTAACAGAATTCTCAAGTTCACCTTTTTATCCGATATTGAAATCAATCTCTAGCATATCCCAACATTAATTACTGTAAAAATACAAAATAAATAAATCATGTTCGAGTGATTGCATATATTTTATTAAAACTTCTCAGTTTTATGATATTCTTTTGATGTTTATATTTTATAGTATGATTAATTTGTTAAACCTAAAATAGCAATTGAAATGATAGCAAAGATAACTGACAGAAATATTACAGTAATATATTTTGTTTTTTTAATAACTTATCAAAACAAAAACTCAGTAACTTCATAACTTTATGCCCTTTATTTTAGCACAAAAATCAGAAATAGTTTTTAGCTAATAAAATTAAAATAATAATAGGCAAAGAAGAGAAATATTTGAATAATTCAATGTAAATAACAAAAAAAATTCAAATTATCATTTTTTTGAGTTTAAAATTTGAAAAAATAAATCAAAAATTAAGGAAAAAAATTCAAATTCATTTTTTGAGGTTAAAATTTTTTAAAAATAAATTAGTAAAATTTCAAATTAAATATGAAAAGAATTGTAAAGGAATGAGTACGAGTATGAAAAGTGCTGTTGAAGGCGATTTACAGAGAAAGTTTGTTATAAAGCGTTGATCCTTTCGCTGGAAAATGCACAAAAAGTTTTATCTTAAAAATTGTAATCTAACACAAAACCCATCCATCCTTTGCTGTGAGCAATGCTTCCCTCTGCAGACAAGTAAGTAAAGTATGTATATTTGCAGTTTGAAATGCAAAAATAAATCCTTTCATTGCTCTTTTTTTCATCTTTGCATTAATCATTCATTCAGCATATCATTAATATTGCTTATAAATACTTTTGTTTCCTTCTAAAACAATGTTTATTTTGTTTTTATTGATTGATTAGTTGATTAGTTTTTCTTGATTGATCAGATAGATGAAAGAATTAGTCAGGTAGAAAAATTGATTACAAGATTTAGAATTCTTTTGGTAAAAAAGTTTTTATCAAATTTGATTTATAATTTGATTATTGTTTTATTGACTGAATTTGATAATTGTTTTATTGATTAATTGAATGTTAACTTTAAAAAATCAAAAATTTTTGCAAATAATAATTATAGAAATTGTTAGGATTCACAAAAAATCTTTTTTGAAGCCATCAGATCACCTAAAATAATACTAATGATAATTTTGCTAAACAACTGTGTAAAAAGTTGAACAGCGAGCAAAAGTTTATTCAAAAACAAAAATCTTTTAATGAATGTCTACTTGCTCAAATTTATTTTATAATCGTATCTACTTTTGAAATATTTTAATAAAATATTTTTGCATATTTTAATCAAAAAATCAAAAAACCTGAAAGTTTGAGCAAATTTTTAGACCAATTTGCATAGCAATTACTCTTACTATTCTTTCTATTTACATCCAACGCAATCAAGTACTGAACTATTATAATCAGTTTGTCATTTGATACAAATCAAATTTCAGTATGTTAACGAGTATGAAATGTTAACTTTTATGGAGAAATTCGGTGTTTAAGAGTAATCAGCACAAATCTGAAAATTTGATTTGATTGCTTATGAATTTTGATTGCTTGACGTAATTTCAGTAAGCAAAAATATGAATATAAGAATTTATCTGAAACAGGAAAGAGCTAGAATGAGTCTGACAGAAGTTTTTATTTAACCTTTGAACTCTTTATTTTTAGACTGATAACTTTTTTTGGAGCAACCATTAATAACCATGATTGATTGGAACAAAATCAAAATGAGTGTTTGATTTTAAATATTGTTTACATACTTTTTCC